TAGAGAGAGAGAGAGAGAGAGAGAGAGAGAGAGAGAGAGAGAGAGACTTTACCGTCAAACATCAATACAAGAAAGCAACGCCACCAATATTATCACACCCATAATTCACCAAGCGACGACAACTTTACAACTGAACGACATGATACTGAGATAACAGAACTAGTGTTGGCGACCTCCATTTTATGTATTAGAACTTTGGTACAAACATAAATATGTTGTTCTATAACACTACTGAAACACGGAACTACTATTTCCATTATTCATTCATTGCTCATTTCTTTTTCTTTTCTTTTTTTTTTTCTTCAGATGAGAACTCCTTACCGTCTCACCGCTTTACAAAAAGAGATAAATAAAGCTACAATTTCATATTCACAAGGCCTGGGATAATCCACCTGGATTAGGCAGCAAGTTGTGCATGAAAACCACTACAGAGAAACCCGAGACCAGCCCATATGCTCTTAGACACAACAGCCAAAGAACAAGTGGCTTTAGGAGCCAGCTAGCGAGGGAAATTAATCAAGCAAAGCGGAAAAAAGCTGGCAGTGTGCTGGACGTTTTCGTGAAGGATTTTCCCTGGCCTGTCATCTCACGCTCTTTCAACTTTCAGTGGTCGTCTTTGACGTTGGAGTAGTAGTAGCTGTCAGTGTCAGTGCTACTTACTGCTGCTACTTGTTGCTGCTCCTGGAGTACTTATTATTCTTATTATAATTGTTTGTTTTTATCATTATCATTATTTTTATAATAACATCAGCGAAAGCAAGCAAAGTGCATTGATGTTCTTTATCATGACCAGCGGATAAAAACACCTTCGTCTCATTCACTCGCTCTGTGAGCAACAGGATCGTCATCTTCGGTGCGACTCTCACCAACAACTGTTTACTGCATTCGTTCATTCGACGGAAAAATCAAGTCACTCACTCACCCATAACCACTTACACATTGTGTTAGCGTGTGTGTTTAGCGTGCTACTTTACTCAACGTATTCTCCATGGACCAGAAATCGCTGCCCATCTTTGGATAATAATTAAACAAGGTGTCGCCATCCATCCCTCACTCACGTCGCTCACTCGACGGACAGAGGCTCTAATTCACCTCTCAACTTTCTTCGCCTTCTCCTTCCCTCTGCAGCTGCTGAGCCTCCTAAAAGACAACGAACGAGTGTTATTATTGTTGTCGTGCCTACCACAGACAGGAAGTCACGTCACTGTGTGTGTACCGTTGTGATAAAATGACAACTCAGCGGAGTTTCCATCAGCGGATAGTCCAATCACGTCGTGTCTCCAAGGACAAAGCTTAGGTGAGTGTAATCGAACTAATCGAACCAACTCTAAAGTCTACAGGCCACCTGTCTAAGACAATCACCTGTAAAATGACAACTTCCAAGTTACTCCCTTATGTTTTACCCCCTACATTATAATGACTCTCTCTCTCTCTCTCACTCTATCTCTCTGTCTCTCTCTCTCTCTATCTCTCTCTCTGTCTCTCTCTCTATCTCTGTCTCTGTCTGTCTGTCTGTCTGTCTGTCTGTCTGTCTGTCTGTCTGTCTGTCTGTCT